CCGCTGAGTATCTGCTTAAGCAGTGTACACATGAATGAATGACTCCGGAAACCAAAGGAGGGGCAGGAGAGTCTGACCCTTGAGTCTGCTCCCTGAAGATCGCTTTTCTTTAATAAACCACACAGCATGAGGGCGGGGCGGCGGGGAGCCGGCGAGCTAGGGGGCAGTGGTCGCGGACGCCCAGGGTTGTCAGCTCAGGGGCATCACGGCACAAGGAGGCACGGGCCCAGATTCGCTGCTGGAACCCGGGGGTTACATCCAGTCCCTTTGTGGAACTTCTAAACACCTTTTATTAGTGAAAACATTTTCTAGGCTGGCGCCGCGGCTCACTAGGCTAATCCTCCACCTAGCGGTGCCGGCACACCAGGTTCTAGTCCCGGTTGGGGCGCCGGATTCTGTCCCGGTTGCCCCTCTTCCAGGCCAGCTCTCTGCTGTGGCCAGGGAGTGCAGTGGAGAATGGCCCAAGTACTTGGGTCCTGCACCCCATGGGAGACCAGGAAAAGCACCTGGCTCCTGGCTCCTGCCATCAGATATCAGATCAGCGCGGTGGCCATTGGAGAGTGAACCAACGGCAAAGGAAGACCTTTCTCTCTGTCTCTCTCTCTCACTGTCCACTCTGCCTGTCAAGAAGATTAAACATAAAACAAAAAAAAAAAAAAAAACATTTTCTACACAATGAAGCCAAAAACTTAAACCAGTATTTATGTGGTTCCGCTTTATCTGCTATGGTTCACGGCGCTTGAGATCTCAGGGGTACCGGGTCTTCTGCGATGACAATATGACTAATAGCAAAAGATTTCTTACTAACAAAGCAAATGGTGGTTTAGGCAGTGGAGGAGGCTGTGTAGACTGGACTTTAACACAATGCAGTCTGATAAGTTTTTTAAACTTACTGTCAATTGAGTATGGTTCCAGTAATAAAATAGAAAAATCGAGAAGAGGGACACAAAGAAATAAATGGCATTTGGCAAGATGGACTATCAGTAGCAACACAGACTTTTAGCAATAGATTTGAGCAACACGTGGAATATCACGGTTTCTCAGAACTGTTTTCACGGTAATAATGGGCACATAACATCGGGTTGTAGCCAAAAGTATGATGACAATGCCAACTATACTGTGATGGGAGAGAGACTTCAGAAACTACTGCTATGTTACAAGATGAGGATATATCTAGTGACGGGATGAGGATGTCATTGTGGAAGCAAGCCAAAAATTACAAGAGAGTCCAGTGGCATCATGGCGTTGAGGATACTTGTGCCATTTTTGTTGGCTGGCTTTGGAACAGTTTCAGCTGACACGGTTTTAGATACAGTACAGCACTGGGAGGTGTTCAAAAAAGTTACAGAAGTTGTCATTTTAGTTCCTGCACTCCTTGGTCTCAAAGGGAACTTGGAAATGACATTGGCATCCAGATTATCCATGGCAGTAAATATTGGGAAGATGGATTCACCCACTGAAAAGTGGAATGGCCGGCGCTGTGGCTCAATAGGCTAATCCTCCACCTTGCAGTGCTGGCACACCAGGTTCTAGTCCCGGTCGGGGCGCCGGATTCTGTCCCGGTTGCCCCTCTTCCAGGCCAGCTCTCTGCTGTGGCCCGGGAAGGCAGTGGAGAATGGCCCAAATGCTTGGGCCCTGCACCCCATGGGAGACCAGGAGAAGCACCTGGCTCCTGCCTTTGGATCAGCGCGATGTGCCGGCTGCAGCGCGCCAGTCGCGGCGGCCATTGGAGGGTGAACCAACGGCAAAAGGAGAAAAGTGGAATCTGGGGCTGGCTCCATGGCACAGCAGGTTAATCATCCACCTGCGGGTTCTAGTCCTGGTTGCTCCTCTTCCTATTCAGCTCTCTGCTGTGGCCTGGGAAGTAGAAGATGGTCCAAGTCCCTGGGTTCCTGCATTCATGTGGGAGACTAAAAGAAGCTCCTGGTTCCTGGCTTGGGATCGGCACAGCTCCAGCAGTTGCAGCCATCTGGGGAGTGAACCAATGGAAAGAAGACCTTTCTCTGTGTCTTTCCTTCTCTCCTCCCCCCCCCCCCCCCCCCCCCGGACAGGCAGAGTTAGACAGTGAGAGAGAGACAGAGAGAAAGGTCTTCCTTTTTCCATTGGTTCACTCCTCAATGGCCGCTGAGGCCGGTGCACCGCACCAGGAGCCAGGTGCTTCCTGCTGGTCTCCCATGCAGGTGCAGGACCCAAGGACTTGGGCCATCCTCCACTGCCTTCCTGGGCCACAGCAGAGAGCTGGACTGGAAGAGGAGCAACTGGGACAGAATCCGACGCCCCAACCGGAACTAGAACCCGGTATGCCGGCGCCGCAGGTGGAGGATTAGCCTAGTGAGCCACAGAGCCAGCCTCTCCTTTCTCTCTCTGTCACTGTAACTTTACCTCTCAAATAAATAAATCTTTAAAAAAAAAAGTGAAATCTAATAATTGGCAACTTGGCTTTAAAGCAGGTGCAGGCAACAGTCATTGGTTTTCTAGCAGCTGTAGCCACAATTCTACTGGGCTGGATTCCAGAAGGAAAATATTACCTTGATCATTCCATATTTTTATGCTCTGGCAGTGTGGCAACTGCCTTCGTTGCATCTCCCCTGCAGGGAATAATAATGGTTGGGGTTGGCCGGCGCCGCGGCTCACTAGGCTAATCCTCCACCTTGCGGCGCCGGCATACCGGGTTCTAGTCCCGGTCAGGGCGCCGGATTCTGTCCCGGTTGCCCCTCTTCCAGGCCAGCTCTCTGCTGTGGCCCGGGAAGGCAGTGGAGGATGGCCCAGGTGCTTGGGCCCTGCACCCCATGGGAGACCAGGAAAAGCACCTGGCTCCTGGCTCCTGCCATCGGATCAGCGCGGTGCGCCGGCCACAGCGCGCCGGCCGCGGCGTCCATTGGAGGGTGAACCAACGGCAAAGGAAGACCTTTCTCTCTGTCTCTCTCTCTCTCACTGTCCACTCTGCCTGTCAAAAAAAAAAAAAATAATAATGGTTGGGGTTGTCCTTGGTTCAAAGAAGACTGGTATCAATCCTGATAATATTGCTATACCCATTGCAGCTAGTTTTGGTGACCTTATAACTCTGGCCATATTAGCTTGGGTAAGTCAAGGCTTGTATGCCTGTCTAAGAGAATTATTACTACATTTCTCCATTAGTTGGTTTGAGTTTCTTAGCTCTAACTCCTATATGGATTATAGTAGCTGCCCAACATCCAGCCACAAGGACAGTTCTCCACTCAGGCTGCAAACCCGTCACAACTGCCAAGGTTATAAGCATATCCTTATTCTGGATACAACTGTATCGACCCAAACTTGGTTGGCATTGTTGTTTCCACACCTGTCATAATGGTATTGGTGGCAATTTGGTGGCCATTCAAGCTAGCAGGATTTCAACCTATCTTTATTTACATAGCAATTCCAGAATTGCCTGATGAACCCAAAGGCTGTTACTACCCATTTAGAACACTTTTTTGGTCCAGGAGTAAATAATAAGTCTGCCCAAGTTCTGCTGCTTTTAGTGATTCCTGGACATTTAATATTCCTCTACACTATTCATTTGATGAAAAGTGGTCATACTTCTTTAACTGTAATCTGCATAGTTGTATACTTATTTGCTGCTGTCTTACAGGTATTTACCTTGCTGTGGATTGCTGACTGGATGGTCCACCACTTCTGGAGGAAAGGAAAGGACCCAGATAGTTTCTTTCTTTATTTTTTAAAGATTTATTTTATTTATTCGAAAGACAGAGTTACAGAGAGAGGTAGAGACAGAGAGAGAGGTCTGGCACTGTGCCAATCTGAAGCCAAGAGCCAGGAGATTCTTCCGGGTCTCCCTTCTGGGTGCAGGGGCCCAAGAACTTGGGCCATCTTCCACTGCTTTCCCAGGCCATAGCAGAGAGCTGGATCAGGAGAAGAGCAGTCAGGACTAGAACTGGCGCCATATGGGATGCCGGTGCTTCAGGCCAGGGCTTTAACCCGCTGTGCCACAGCGCCAGCCCCCAGATAGTTTCTGTATCCCTTACCTAATGGAACTGGGTGATCTGCTTGGGACAGCTTTGTTGGCCTTATGTTTTCATTTTCTTTGGCTTATTGGAGATCGAGATGGAGATGTTGGAGACTAATCAAACCTACAAATTGCTTTCAAATTACTGAGGAGGAAGACACAAGACAACCACTTCTGGCTCTCTTTCAAAACTCTTAAATCAGTAGTTTGATTTTTGCCAGGGTAAACTTCAGTTGGCCCTGAGATTAAATAAATGGCCTTAACATTTTTTTTAAGGAATTTGTGTTGAAACCAGAATGAATAGTATTTGTGCTGCTTTTTGCAGAAAAAATTATCATTTGACATAGACATAGATACATGTTCCAACTCTGAAATTAATTAAATATGAAAAAAATTAGAATGTTTGACAATGAATAATTTTAAAACCACAGATACAGTAGAAATGTACTTTCTTATTGTTTAACTGATAACTCAAGGTTAGAGGAAACAGTGTTCTAGCTCTTAGTGTAATTGTTTTGTCTCACAAGTGTGTTACACTATAAAGCATACTGTCAAATGAAAGATGCCCCAGTGAGGCCAGCACTGTGGCACAGTGGATTAACATCCTGGCCTGAAGCGCTGGCATCCCATATGGGCGCCAGTTCGAGACCCGGCTGCTTCATTTCCAATCCAGCTTTCTGCTATGGCCTGGGAAAGCAGTGGAAGATGGCCCAAGTGCTTGGGCCCCTGCACCTGTGTGGGAGACCCAGAAGCAGCTCCTGGCTCCTGACTTCGGATCGGCGCAGCTCCAGCCGTTGCAGCCAATTTGGGAGTGAACCAGCGGATGGAAGACCTCTCTCTCTCTCTTTCTCTTTCTCTTTCTCTCTCTCTCTCTGCCTCTCCTCTCTGTGTAACTCTGACTTTCAAATAAATGGTGCCCAGCCAAGGTTTCAGTATTTTTAAGTATGTTTACCTCTATGCTCACCAAGGATAAATTCACCAACTATTTGTTCTTAAACTGACCAAAATAATTCTGCTGAGCACAAGATAAATTCACTTTTACCTGCATCTAAAATTACCCTGTGCTAATGCTAACTCAATTTCAACTTCGCCAAGTTCTTGGCAGGCTACCCTTTACATACAGAATGATCTTGAGAGATCATTAATGAAAGCAATGAGCCATTTTAAATGATTGATTTGTTGAATAAAATATTGGTATTTTTCAAACAACCTGATAGTCAAAAGCAGAAGATAACCTAAACTGCATTTGTTGAGATGAAATGATTTGAGAAATTTTGTGTGTATGAGAGAGGCCTTTGATAAAAAGTGAAATCTTGGATAGTAAAGATGATAGCACTGGGGCCGGCACCATGGTGCAGTAGGTTAATCCTCTGCCTGTGGCGCCGGCATCCCATATGGGTGCCGGTTCTAGTCCTGGCTGCTCCTCTTCCTATCCAGCTCTCTGCTATGGCCTGGGAAAGCAGTAGGAGATGGCCCAAGTCCTTGGGCCCCTGCACCTGCGTGGGAGACCTGGAAGAAGCACCTGGCTCCTGGCTACGGACTGGCGCAGCTCCAGCCGTTGCGGGCATCTGGAGAGTAAACCAACAGAAGGAAGACCTTTCTCTCTGTCTCTCCTTCTCACTGTCTGTAACTCTACCTCTCAAATAAGTAAATAAAATCTTAAAAAAAAATGATAGCACTGTTGGAACATCAGCATTATAGGGTGATTCTTAAACATATTTCATTTGTATGCTTTCGTTATTTGGTCCAAAAATATTGCTGCCAACCAGAATTTAGTATTTGTTACCTATATTGTAATTAATAGTTTCTTCTTCTTCACAAAAAAACTGTTCTGTTTAATCAAGTTTTAAGATTTAGAATGGGCAGGCATTGCGGCGCCAGCACACCAGGTTCTAGTCCCGGTCGGGGCGCCGGATTCTGTCCCGGTTGCCCCTCTTCCAGGCCAGCTCTCTGCTGTGGCCAGGGAGTGCAGTGGAGGATGGCCCAATTCCTTGGGCCCTGCATCCCATGGGAGACCAGGAAAAGCACCTGGCTCCTGCCATCGGATCAGCGCGGTGTGCTGGCCGCAGTGTGCCGGCCGCGGCGGCCATTGGAGGGTGAACCAACGGCAAAAGGAAGACCTTTCTCTCTCTCTCTCTCTCACTGTCCACTCTGCCTGTCAAAAAAAAAAAAAAAAGGAAAAAAAGAAAAAAAATGCTAAAAAAAAAAGATTTAGAATGACTAAGTGATTTGTTTGCACTTTTAAGAAAGTCTGTCATTTACCCTTTTAAAAGGGAAGTTGGTGAGTTCCCTCACTTATTGTTCACGCCTACACTTACCATCTGTTTGCACAGGCTTATCTCTACATCGGACACTAGCATATACACTGCTCCACTTCTCAGTTATTTTTCTAAAATTCTGACCCAACATGTTAAATAACCACCACCTTGGTTATTCAGCAGATAAGCATTTCCATATCACATATAGCTCACTTCTTAAAATACGGTGCAATCTCTAAAGACCACTACATATTTAATAATTTAAAACTGATAAAGGAAGAATAAAACATGCACATTAACTTTGATCATGGTTTCAGTTGTCTTAGTGTTATATAAATTATAGGTTGTTCATAAATATATTGGAAGCATTCTTTCTAAGCTCTTCAAAGGGGCTGTAGTTGAGAGTTATGTATTTTTGCTTATTTTTGAACTGTATTCCATCATTCTGCCTGATAATTAAGCTTTAAGGCAGAGAACTGAACTAATTATACAGTTTCTCCTTTGGAGAGTTAAATGTCATATAGTGAACATTCGTATAAAACAAAGAATGGTTACATTTAAGTTGATGAATATTTAGCTGCAAAGATTTTTTTTCTTTTTTATGAAATCCATGAGTGAGATTTTTGATTTTATTGTAAACCACTTGCAAATCACTTATTTATATTTGGTCTGCATGATTTACAATCATTTACATTTCCCAGTGGTTTCTGTTTTAACACCAACAAAAAATGCAGAGTGGTAGCTTTGGGACCCGCAAGGAGGGAAGGCCTACACTTCAGGGAATGGAGAGGCCTACTTCCGGGGAAGAAAGTCCTTGTCAAGGTCCCTGCGGGTGCCTAAAGGTCAACCAATGAGGATCAGACCTGCCTCAACCTTTAACTCCCATGCCCTGAATCTATAAAAGGAGCTCTCCCAATCTCTGACTGGAGACTTCCCAGCCCCCCCCCACCCTGTTGCTCTGTTGGGACCAGGGAACCTCGCCCGGGAGCAGAACCCCAGTAAAAGTCTGTGAATTAATCGATTCATCTGCCTGGGAAGATTTGTTATGTGCCGGACACCTTGCACAGAGCAAGTTACATCATTAAAGCATTAACCAACCAACAACTGGTAACAGTACATATTCCAAAGCACATCCAAACACATCACATCACTTAGTATTCCTGTCTCTATTTCACAGCACAGAAAATTGAAACGCAGAGTAATTACTTTTCTAATATGTATAGCTGCAAAGTGACCACATTGTGAAGTCCCTGAAGTCCAGTCTTGTTATATACATCTGTGACCCTTTAAGTTCACGGAGAGAAACCAATTGAAGAAGCAGTTTTCTAAAAATAAAATAGAGTATCACTATATCTTTTAGATTTCAGATAGAGAAATCTCCGATTAATTTATCTTCACAGTAAGAACAGCCAACTCTAAATTATTTATATTCCTAAGACCAAGGAAAGCAAAAGAATATTTTATTTTATAAAATAATCTCCATTTTTACACATTAAAACTTTGGAATAAAGAATCATGCCTTGTTTCCTAGAACATATCCTTGTCACCGCCCTTTCCAGATCTTGCCATTTGCTGTAAGTGATAACAAAAATAGTATTTTTTTTTTTTTGACAGGCAGAGTGGACAGTGAGAGAGACAGAGAGAAAGGTCTTCCTTTTGCCGTTGGTTCACCCTCCAATGGCATACCATGCTGATCCGAAGCCGGGAGCCAGGTGCTTCTCCACGTGGGTGCAGGGCTGAAGCACCTGGGCCATCCTCTAGTGCACTCCCGGGCCACAACAGAGAGCTGGCCTGGAAGAGGGGCAACCGGGACAGAATCCGGCGCCCCGACCAGGACTAGAACACGGTGTGCTGGCGCCGCAATGCTGAGGATTAGCCTATTGAGCCGAGGCGCCAGCCACAAAAATAGTATTAGAGATCCAAGTGTTCTTTGTCTTTTGCTATTCAACCTTGATTAGAGCAACAAAAAGTCTGAAGCTGTGTAAGGACAAAAGGGAAAATTAGTGACTGATTAGCTGAATTAACTGTGAAAGGGATGTAGATTTCTTTTTTTAAAAGCATTACCTTTTGAAAGCCTTCCCAAATGTGTGTAACCAATAAGGTGACTTCTTTTTATTTGTCCACAAAAATAATTTATTATCAGTCTTATATGTAAATCTACAGTATTTATTTTTATACACCATAGAAACTCCCGCTTTCTGAACTTCTTCCTTTCATTAATTTATGAGACACTTTATATTTATAAACAGATAACCTTTTCAGCACATTTTTCACTGTTGCCCACCAGCCATTTTTATCTTTGAGAAATAAAGTTTCTTAGGACCTGATAAAATGGAAAATTAAAGTAACGTACTTCTGGGAAACATCAAAAAGTTCATACCATAGACTGTCAATGACTTAGCCACATGAATAGAGGTTTAAAAGTCTTTCAGTAATTGGGCTTTCTTGTCTTGCCTTATCATGTATCTGTTGTATAGTATACCCCTTTAAAATGGGTCTACCACCTTTGAATTGTTGTAGACTCAACTAAGAATAAACTTTGCGAAATATTTACCTCCCAAAAAATTTTAAAAAATAAACCACACAGTACAATTTGCCTTCTTTCCAAGAAAACCCAGCAACAAGTTAATCGCAAAGAAACTGCTGTGGGATTGCCCTCACTGATGCACACATTCAGAAACATCCTGCACCTCCCACCCTAAGCTTCCTGACATTGTTTGAAGATGTTAGATCTAAATGACAAGCACCTGAGACAGCTGCCTTACAGAATGGAACAGCTATAAATATGTTTTTTTAAAGATTAATTTTGTATTTGAAGGCAGAGTTAGAGAGAATCTTCCATCCACTGGTTCACTCTCTAAATGGCTACAATGCCTGTGGCTGGGCCAGGCTGAGGCCAGGAGATTTGGACTCCATCCTGGTCTCTCAGGGCACCAAGTCCACCTTCCAGGTGTATGAGAAGGGAGCTGGATAGGAAGTGGATCAGCTGGGACTCGAACCAGGGCTCTCCTGAGATGCCAGCATCACTAGTGGTGGCTTAACAAACTGTGCAACAATGCCAGCCCCTATAATAATCTGGATGGAAATTTCTTTCCAGGTAGAATTATATACGTTGAAGTCACAAGGACATGATGCATTTCTTTTTTTTTTTTTTTTTTTAAGATTTATTTATTCGCCGGCGCCGTGGCTCAATAGGCTAATCCTCCGCCTTGCAGCGCCGGCACACCAGGTTCTAGTCCCAGTTGGGGAGCCGGATTCTGTCCCAGTTGCCCCTCTTCCAGGCCAGCTCTCTGCTGTGGCCCGGGAAGGCAGTGGAGGATGGCCCAAGTCCTTGGGCCCTGCACCCCATGGGAGACCAGGAGAAGCACCTGGCTCCTGCCATCGGATCAGCGCGGTGCGCCGACCGCAGCGCGCCAGCCATGGCGGCCACTTGAGGGTGAACCAATGGCAAAAGGAAGACCTTTCTCTCTCTCTCTCTCTCTCTCTCTCTCACTATCCACTCTGCCTGTCAAAAAAAATTTATTTTTTTATTTGAAAGTCAGAGTTACACAGAGAGAAAAGAGGCAGAGAGAGAGAGAGGTCTTCCATCCAATGGCTCCCTCCCCAATTGGCCGCAATGGCCGGAGCCGTGCCCATCCAAAGCCAGGAACCAAGGACTTGGGCCATCTTCTACTGTTTTCCCAGGCCATAGCAGAGCTGGACCAGAAATGGAGCAGCCGGGACTTGAACCAGCGCCTATATGGGATGCCAGCACTTCAGGCCAGGGTGTTAACCCGCTGAGCCACAGCACCAGCCCCACATGATGCATTTCTAAAAAACACTTCCTACCTAGAACATTCTGTGTAACTGCATATGTGGAGGGAGGGGCCCCAGTTTTCATGAGGTCCCTGTGAGCCTGTGAGCCTGCAATGGTCAAGATCCACTGCTCGGGTGCAGTGGGGCGCGAGGAGGCAGGGGTGCCTTCCTGTGGAAATACGCTCGCTGACCGGTGGAAAGGACGCAAGGTGAGCAGCTGCAGCCTTCCACCAACAGTCCTGCGACTAAGCCATCTTGGAAGGGGGTCCCCAGCCCCTGTCTAAGCCTCAGTGCCTGCAACCACCTCACAAGAGACCCCACACCAGCAGCACCCATTAAGTTGCTCCGGGCTCCTGACCTACAGGAATTGTGTCACATGATATACCTTTATTGTCTTGAGTCCATTGTTACAGAGCCGCGGGTGATGGATCCATCCCATTAACTTATTACAAGTCCACTTCTGGGCATCATTGCCTTCGGGTTCATTTGAGAATCACGTTTATAAAACTCCTGTACAAGATTTCTACTGGTGGACCCAGGCATACTAGCTTCAGAAATGAAACAATAGAGCGTTGCACAATGCACTACCAGTAGCAAAATGCTTTTACCTAAGCAATCCCAGAAGCTGGGACTGGACAACCGTAACTTTTGTATTATTTCTTCTTGTTGCAGTTACTAAAACAGGCTCAGACGAACCAAAATGATTTTCCCAAGGTTGTACAGGTATTTAGTGGCAGCTGGTAGGTGAACCAGGTCTTCTGCCTCAGAATTCAAGATTCTTTCCATGTTCTGTCAGTCTGATAGGGCTGCCAAAACAAAGGAGCACAACCCATGAGCAGGAGGCTGAAGCCCCAGAAAAGGATGTCTCAAAGTTCTGGAGGGTCAAAGTCCCAAATCAAAGGAATCAGCAGGGTTAGGTCCTACTGATGGCTATGAGACAGAATCTGCTCCATGTGCCTCTCCCAGTGCCTGGTGGCTGCTGGCACATTCTTTCTAGCACATTCCGTGGTGTGTGGCTACAGCATGCCAATGCCTGTCCCCATTGTCACATGTAGGGTCCCTCTCCTCTTCTTACAAAGATACCAGACATACTGGATTAAGGCTCACCCTTGTGACTCCCGTCTTCTTGAGTGCATGGGCAAAGATCCTTTCTCTAAACAAGATCACAATTCCAGGTACTAAGGATTAAGACTTCAGTGTCTTAATTAAACCCACACAACTTTCATAAATTGCACCCTCCCTTAGAGGACAACCTGTAAGGCATCATTAGATTCAAATGACTTCTTGAATGGCTCTGCTGGTGCTGGCTTTCTTTGGCACATAGCACAGCCCGAAAAAAAGCAGCATTGGAAAGATATATCAGTGGATCCACCAGGGGGCACTAACTGTCCAGAAAATAACTCAAAAATACCTGCGGTGTATTAAAATCCCTTTGTGAATTTTTTTTACCTTTATTTCTTAAATGTGGATCTTCATATTTGAAAATCCAGAGATAATCAAGGATTTCCTGATTTTTTTTCAATCACATATTTCTAGCAGTCTTAAATTCCCTCTTCCACCATATGTGATAGTCAATTCCCACCACCTCCCTGAAAGCAGCCCTGCCTGGCTGCTGAATTTTGGCTGTCTCCTCCGGGTAGGAGGCTCGGCCTGTCTCATAAAGCCTCCTGCAGGGGAGAGGGCGCTTTGGCCGTTGCAGCCAAGTGGGGAGTGAACCACTGGATGGAAGACTCTCTCTCTCTCTCTCTCTCTCTCTCTCTGCCTCTCCTTCTCTCTGTGTGTGTAACTCTGACTTTCACATAAATAAATAAATGCTTTACAAAAAAAAGTACCCTGGGACTTTCTGCTACCATGCACGCTTTCTCGCACTGGTCTCCTTACTTGTAGTGCCGTAAAGAGCCCTGGTTGGATGCCACCATTGACCCTGGAACAGGAACAAAGGCAGCATGGCAGTTGCATAAGTGCTTGGAACAGGGCCTGGCTCAAAAGGACAGTCATTTTCTTGGGCTCCCATATGTTAAACAAGTCAGTGCCTTTTGAAGTCACACCTCTGCCTTTAGGATGTTCTAACACTGCATTTTGTATACCCCCTCACATTATATAGATGGCAAGGAGAGGTAACCAGTTTGGTTTGGTTTCACAGAGAAATTCCGACAGGGATACACACCAGCTGTGAGGAGGGCGGTAAAATATATAACACATACGGGCCTTTGCCTCCTCATCCATAAACCAGGATAACACCTGTGCCATGGGTTCATTGTGAGGATTTAGGTTTTATAATACACATAAAGCAGTTACTGTACTGTTTTATTAAATACTCAGTAAATCATATGAGCACAGTCCTATGTATAACAGCATTTCAGACAACAGACTGTATTACAAGGGTACTTCCAAAAGTGCATGGACAAGGAATTCAATAGAAGCTTCTTTTGATGCAAGGAAGTCCAAAATCCACGCACAACTTCTGTCACACTACACATTTTCCATGAGATTTTTAGAAAGCCCCTCATACAACGTTGGTCCCAGAAGTTTATAATGGAGTTCCTACATCATCGTCATGGTGACACCATAGCCCAAGTCTTCAAAACTCATGTTTCTTTTCTTTTTTTTTTTTGAAATATGCAAGTTTTTTTTATTTGCATTTGAAAAATATTACCTATGGGGCTGGCTCTGTGGCACAGTGGGTTAAAACCCCAGGCTGCAGCACTAGCATCCAATATAGGAGCCGGTTCAAGTCCTAGTTGTTCCACTTCCAATCCAGCTCTCCGCTACAGCCTGGAAAGCAGTAGAAGATGGCCCAAGTGCTTGGGCCCCTGCATCCACATGTAGGACCTGGAAGAAGCTCCTGGCTCTTGGCTCCTGGCTTCAGAATCAGCTCAGCTCTGGCCGTTGCAGTCATCTGGGGAAGTGAACCAGTGGACGGAAAACATCTCTCTCTCTCTGGCTCTACCTCCCTGTGTAACTCTGTCTTTCAAATAAATAAAATAAATCTTTAAAGAAAATGAAAGAAAAATATCACCTATATAAAAGTTTGGTCCCCTATCTTCTCATTTATCTCTACCACTCAAATTTGAATATTTTAATTATACTCAAGTTAAAGTAGAATCCCATGTCTGACATGAGAACTAAATGTTTCACATTGTAAAATTAATAGATTTAAGTGAATTGGATATATTTATCATTTCTCGGGACTAACAACTCATCATTCTCACAGGCTAGTCCCCTTGACTTCTATGGATTTGAGTAACTAGACATGCCTTCTCTTCTCCCTCATTAACGTAACTACAGACATGGAATTTAATGACATTATAACTGGATTCATTATCTAATCTTTAATTATTGTTCAACTCTCCCACTTAACAAGCTATTTCCATAATAGCTTCGGCTATTTTAGCCAAACTCGACTTCCCAACACCAATTGTAAAAAAATTACAATGTTAAAGACATAATGAAAATTCCAGACTCAGCAACACAGGGTACACTCAGAGTGTGGCTATTGAGAGGGTCCTCGAACAGCTATTGCTTCGTTCTCAACAAGACTTCCCAGGGGCAAAGCAGCAACCTGGCCAGCAGCTCTTGCCGGTAAATTACTCTTGAAATACTGCTTGTAGACTTCATTGACAGCATTGAGATCGTTTATGTCAGCTGGCAAAATAGTTGTTGTCACCACATTAGCGAAGTCACAGCCTATGTTTGTAAGAGCTTGTTTAGTTTCTTCTACTACCTCTCCTGGCACAAGCTTTCCACTGCAAGGGTCCATGCCCACCTGTCCTGAAATGTAAACAGTCTTGTCCACCAGCACAGCTGTACTGTAGGGACCAGTGACCCCTGGGGCCTTAGTGGTGCTGATCGCCTTTCTGGCCAGAGACATGGCTAATCCATGTCCTCTTGCGCACCCTGCCCCAGCACAGTTTGAGACTTACAAACTAACAGCATCTCAGCTCCCAAGGTTCCCACGGGGGGACTCACATGTTTCTTAAACTCACATGTAGTGCTGGTGTAGAGAAAACCTAGCCTGCTCCCAGGTCTGCAAAAGAATAGAATATACAATTATATACAGTATATAATGCTTGATAATGAGAAAATGACCGCTGTTGGTTTATACAGTGACGGTACCTTTAGCCATTATTTATTTATTTTTTTTAAAGCAGTTTATTTATTTATTTATTTTTGACAGGCAGAGTGGACAGTGAGAGAGAGAGACAGAGAGAAAGGTCTTCCTTCGCCGTTGGTTCACCCTCTAATGGCCGTCGCGGCCAGCGTGCTGCGGCGGGCGCACCACGCTGATCCGATGGCAGGAGCCAGGTGCTTCTCCTGGGGTGCAGGGCCCAAGGACTTGGGCCATCCTCCACTGCACTCCCTGGCCACAGCAGAGAGCTGGCCTCGAAGAGGGGCAACCGGGACAGAATCCGGCGCCCCAACCGGGACTAGAACCCGGTGTGCCAGCGCCGCAAGGCGGAGGATTAGCCTAGTGAGCCGCAGCGCCGGCCACCTTTCGCCATTATTTTAGAGCGTACTTCTTCTGCACATATGCCTCAGGCAGGTCTCTCAGGAGGTGCCCAGGAGAAGGCTTCGTTATCATAGACAGCTGTATGTGCATGATGACCCCTGAAGACCTTCCAGTGGGATAGGATCTGGAGACAGAAGACGGTGATGTTTATTAACAGTGCTGGTTTGAGTCTCGGCTGCTCTGCTTCCAATCCAGGTCCTTGCTAATGTTCCTGGGAAGGCAGCAGAAAATGGCTCAAGTGCTTGGACCCTCACCAACACATGGGAGACCAGAATGGAGTTCCTCGCTCCTGGTTTCAGTCTGGCCCAATCCTGGCTGATGCAACATTTGGGGGATGAACCAGCAGGTGGATGGAAGATCTCTCTCTCTCTCTCTCCCTCTGTAACTGCCTTTCAAATAAATGAATAAATCTTTTTTAAAGAGAAGAAGAAGACAGTGATATTAACAATCCTGACCCAGTGAAGACCCAGGCAGAAGTATGTGCTCATGTCTTAGGTTTTAACAAAAAAGTTTGAAAAGTGAAACATTTAAAAACTGTATAGAAAAGAGCTTATAGAAGAAGGAAACAAAGAAAGAAAATATTTTTTTACAGTTGGAAAATACATTCACGCTTTCAGCCAAGTGTTATTTCAAAAGAACCGAAAGTTTAGATATTTTAAAGTTTATAAGAGGAAAAAAATATGAATTTAGTGTGGCCTAAGCCCTCAGTGTTTATATAACCTACAGCAGTAACAAGAGTACCCTAGGCATTCACATTTACACATCCCTCACAGGACTTCTGGCCCTGCAAGCTCTGTCCATGGAAAGTGCTCCATACAGGTGAACCATTTTCTCTTGCTTACTAAAACTGTTTATTTATCTACTTGAAAGACAGAATTACAGGCTGGTGCCACGGCTCACTAGGCTAATCCTGTGCCTGCTGCGCCGGCACTCCAGGTTCTAGTCCTGGTTGGGGCGCCGGATTCTGTCCCAGCTGCTCCTCTTTCAGTCCAGATCTCTGCTGTGGCCCGGGAAGGCAGTGGAGGATGGCCCAAGAACTTGGGCCCTGCACCCGCATGGGAGACCAGGAGGAAGCACCTGGCTCCTGGCTTTGGATCAGTGCGGTTCACCGGCCTCACTGTGCCGGCCGTAGCGGCCATTTGGGGGGTGAATCAATGGAAAAAGGAAGACCTTTCTCTCTCTCTCTCTCTCTCACTAACTCTGCCTGTCCAAAAAAAAAAAAAAAAAAAAAAAAAGGCAGAAAGAAACAGAGGGAGAGCAAGAGAGAGATCTTTGTCTGCTGGTTCTCTCCCCAAATGTTCAAAAGAGCCAGGGCTGGGCCAGGCTGAAGTCAGGAGCCAAGAACTCCATCTGGGGCCCAAGTACTTGGGCCATTTTCTGCTGCTTTCTCAAGAGCATTGGCAGGGTGATGGAACCGTTGAAACTTGAACCAGCACTTGAATGGGATGCCAGTGTCACAGTTGGAAGTCTAGCCCACTGTGCCACAATGCCAGCCTCTTCTCTCTTTTTTTAAACATGTTTATTTGTTTATTTGAAAGTCAGAGTAACAAAGAGGGGGGACACACATACACGCGCAGAGACAGTGACAGAGAGAGCAAGAGTGAGAGAGACAGAGATCCCCTATCTACTTATTCACTCCCCAAATGCCCACAACAGCCAGAGCTAGGCCAAGCCGAAGCCAGGAGCCAGGAACTCTCCATCTGAGTGTCTCATAAGAGTAGCAGAAACCCAAGTACTTGGGCCATCATTTTCTGCCTCCCAGGTGCATTAGCAAGAAGCTGGATCAGCAAGTAGCCCAGATCTGAACCAGGCGCTTTAATCTGAGACATGGGCTTTCCAAGTGGTGGCTTAAACTGCTGCACCACGGCGCTTATCCTTATGTTTTATACAGTATTTTACTTGTACCTTCTCTGAGATCTTATATATGTTTAGATACACTCATATTTACCACTGTGTTACAATTGCCTGCAGGGTTCAGTGCAGTCACATGTTGTCTATATTTGTAGCCTGGGAGCAAACAGATTATACTATACAGCATAGGTTCCTGTAGGTACATGCTACAATGTTCCTACTGAAGAACCTTAAAAATCTAACCAAGATGGAGTGACTTAAGCTAACACTATTAAAAACAAGAAGTCACCTCTGCCCCAAATAAAATTAAAGTTTAAAAATTATAGCCCTAAACTTTTTCCCCAAAGCTAACATTAGGTGCAGCTATAAAAATAAGGGACCCTATGCTTAGCTAGCTGAGACACTTGTGCCTGGCTCTGCTAAAACCTAACCCAGTTTGTATACCTCCTAATACTCAAATAACGGTGTGGGAAGCGGGACGCTGCTCTCCCTCCAGGGGAATGAAGGGAGTGAGACACGTCTCCCTCAGGGTGAACAAGATGACGCTGACAGGGAAAGGAACTGCTGAAGAAGTAAACAACAAAATGGCGACGAGGTGCATGCCTCCCATGTGACCCCGTAGCTGACTGGATAGAAGACGCATGCCTTTCACATGATCAGTTCACGGATTGGACTGCTGTGTGCATGGACACTATAGTGCTTCTGATTGGTTGCTGCGGGTATATAAACCGTGTGGCTCTGTGCTGGGGGCGTTCTCTGGACTCCCGAGTTCAGGAGGCCCGTCTGCGCAGACGCTGAATAAATCCTCTTGCTTTTGCATCAGCTGGTCTGGACTCTGAGTCTTTGGGGCGTGCCTCTCGACGTATTAGCATCCTCACTCAGAGGGTCTAACACTACAACCAAAAATCACCTGATGACACATCAGTATGGATTCCTATTGTTAAGTGATACATGGCTATATCTGATACTACTTTCAGGGGCTGATGTTGTGGCATAGCGGATAAAGCCACAACGTGCAGTGCCAGCATCCCATATGGACGCCGGTTGGAGACCCGGCTGCTCCACTTCCAATCCAGCTCTCTGCTATGGCCTGGGAAAGCAGAAGAAGATGGCCCAAGTCCTTGGGCCCCTGCACCCATATGGGAGACCTGGAAGAAGCTTCTGGCTCCTGGCTTCGGATCTGCACAGCTCTGGTTGTTGTGGCCAACTGGGGAATGAACCAGCGGATGGAAGACCTCTCTCTCTCTTCTCTCTCTCTCTCTCCCTCTCTCTGTCTTTCCTCTCTCTGTGTATAACTCTGACTTTCAAATAAATAAATAAATATTTTTTTAAAAAAACAGATACTTCTTTCAAATGATTTTCTTACAGCCTGTCCACAATTACCTGGTGGCATATGAAAGATCAACATTTAGGTTTCTCATAAATTATGATCACTGACATCATATATAAGAGTGTCAATTGTTAAATCAACAATAGGAGTCACTGTGCACTTGCACATGTAGGACCTCTGTCCTTAATGAGTTGTATTCTGAGAATTAATGGTAAAACTAGTCTTCAAAAAGTACTTTACACTTTGTGTGTCTGTGTGGGTGCAAACCATTGAAGTATTTACTTAGTATAGAGTTGATCTTTGGTATATAAAGATAATTAAAAATGAATATTAATGAAGAATGGGATGGGAGAGGGAGTAGGAGGTGGGGTAGTTTGGGGGTGGGAGGGCTGGTATGCGGGGAAGAATCACTACAATCCAAAAGCTGTACTTATGAAATTTATATTTATTAAATAAAAGCTTTCTAAAAAGATTAAAAATTAAAAAAAGAGTTTCCCATAAATTAACATGCTTAAATTTAAGGCAGTTACACTAAATTAAATACCCATTGAACAGAGAGCTGCTAAGTTTTGTTTCACCCATTCCTGAATTTTACAATGTTTCAAATACTATGGTAGGCAGGGGAGAGAGCAGAGAATAAGGTCAGTATATTCCCTATTCTTACAGCGCTTGTAGTTTACAAAGGGAGCAGATGATAAAATAACAGCTAATATACATGTTAAGTGATTTTAAACATGATGAAGAGGAGGAAAGAATAGAGCAGAGGGCAAATGAAATGCCGGTGAGGAGGAAAGGGGCTGTTATTTCGTATAAGAAGGCACAGAGTTCCTGACCCAGCCCCTCATGAGCAGAAAACAGGAAGGCTGTGAGGGCCATGCAAACATCTGGGACCAGAGCATCCTAGGAGGAGGAACAAGAGCTTGCAAAGGCCCTGAGGCCAAAGTCTGCTGGCTGTGTTGGAGAAACAGTGGGGAGGATTGTGTGATCAGAGCCAGGAGCTTGAGGGGGAGGGTGGGAGGAGAGAAGCTGGGGTGGGGGCCAGGGCAGACCATGGTGCAACTTGTGGGCCATTGTGAGATGAGGGTTTGGAGCAGGAGCGGGCAAGATGGGACGGAAGCTCCGCTCCCACATAGGAGATCCAGAAGCTCCTGGCTCCTGGTTTCTGATCAGCACAGCTCTGGCCATTGCAGCCATCTGGGGAGTGAACCAGTGGATGGAAGACTATCTCTGTATCTACCTCTCTCTGTAACTCTTTCAAAGAAATAAAATAAATTATTTTTTAAAAAGGCTGGCCAGCACCACAGCTCAATAGGCTAATCCTCCACCTGCAGCGCCAGCACACGGGTTCTAGTCCCGGTCAGGGCGCTGGATTCTGTCCCGGTTGCTCCTCTTCCAGGCCAGTTCTCTGCTGTGGCCCGGGAGTGCAGTGGAGGATGGCCCAGGTGCTTCAGCCCTACACCTGCATGGGAGACCAGGAGAAGCACCTGGCTCCTGGCTTCAGATCAGCACGGTTCACCGGCCGCACTGTGCCGACCGTAGCGGCCATTGGGGGGTGAACTAACGGAAGAGGAAGGTCTTTCTCTCTGTCTCTCTCACTGTCCACTTTGTCAAAAAAAAAAAAAAAAAAAAGGCATTGAGGACGCTAGGTGTTGCCTTTAGCCAGCTGCTATTGACTGAGAAACGAGACGTTGCAGCAGGCACAGGTGCAGTTGAGAAATTTGGATCTCTGGCATTTACTTTGTTAGTATTAAGAAATCTACTAGATATTCAAGTGGACTGTCAAGTAAGCAATCTCTTATGCAGAAGTCTGGGCGAGGGATAAAGGTAAGAATCAGCAGCTTGAGATGGTATTTAGAACCTTGAGACTGGCTGAAGTCACTGAATTGAGTAAGTGATTGTAGATCTAGAGATCACAGACCAAGCTCTAAGGTCAGAGACAGGAGGAGAAGGAGGCAGTACCTCTGATCTGTGGAGGCAGAGCTGGGAGGGTGGGGAGGAAGAGAGCCTGAGCCAGCACATGCCAGAAATTTGCACAAGGCGTCCCTTCAGGCCCTCCCCTACGGACCAGTGTAGGCACGGGAAGAAACTGCCCAGGGCAGAGAATGCCCCGCAAGGACTGGAAAGAAGGATTTCCAGGACACACGTGAGCCCACAAGATCTTAACCCCGCTCATCACAGCAGGGAAACATCATGATTCAAGGATGCGGGCTCAGTAGAATGTCTCTGGGCCCCGCCAGAAAGGGCTGAAAGTCAGCCCTGAAAGCATCAAGCCCTTTCCAAGGAACTTGTCTGCATCCCTGAAGCATGTTGCCTGCTCCATCTCCCAGGCCTAAAATAGCATCTGTCCTGTAGCCAGCCTTCAGCAGTGCAGCAGTTGTGAAATGACTGAATGAGTGAAACAACCCAATATGTTTGGGTCTATCCCACAGCAAAACTCAAAAAGTTTATGCAAAATGAGGCTGAGTCTCCCCCCTCCAACACACACAATGTCTTTGGTGTAGATTTTTCTCAGTCCCCAACCTTTCTCCCTTGGCCTGCAGCTCCTTTGTCTTCACTGAGGTGACTACAAGTCAGCTCCTTGCTAAAGATCAGCTCACTAAACTCAGGGAATGGTTCAAGGGTCAGGGCTGGTCCTGGATTGCAAGTCTCAGAATCCAATTATTACTTCTGCAGTGAACATCCTAACACCAGGCTCTATTTTGAGGTGTTTTGCAGAAACTTTAAGCCCTGATGAGAGTAATAACCCAACTACCAGTAGATGGCAAATAGGCCAGAGCCCACTTTGCCATCACATTTTCAGAAGAACACACCAGCCTCTTCTCATGGACCAATCCAAGGAAGGCCACAGTCACTGGACACCAACCAGAGGCTTAGCACAGGGGCTGATCACACACAGCTCAAGCCCAGCGTTATAAGATTCACCACCCTTAGATCCTAGGGAAGTCTGGAAATTAAGCAAAAGCTGCCCAACTCTTTGCTCGGTACACTGCAAAATAGAATGGGCTTTCCTCTACCTCCCCACTGTGATGGGTGAGAGGACCCAAACTTTTGGGCTTTGATAACAAGACAGTTTTCCATGGAACGTGTTTTTCATGAACTCCCTAAAGACCCTTCATATACCTGACTTTCAAAAACATTTTGCATGAAAATAATACCTTTTAATTCCATTCCGCAAACTCTTTGAAGTGTGTGTGTGTGTGTATGTGTGAAAGAGAGAGAGTAAAATTCTCAATATCTAGCATCCAATCAAAAATTACATGACAAGCGAAGTAGAAAAAGAGGAGAAAAATGAATCAATAAAACTCTCAGAAATGGGGCTGGCACTGTGGCACAGCAGGTTAAAGTCATGGGCTACAGCACCAGCATCCTATATGGGCGCTGGTTCGAGTGCCGGCTGCTCCACTTCCAATCCAGTTCCCTGCTAATGTGCCTGGGAAAGCAGAGGAGGATGGCCCAAGTGCTTGGGCCCCTGCTCCCATGAGGGACACCCAGAAGAAGCTCCTGGCTCCTGGCTCCTGGCTTCTCTCTGGCCCAGGCTTAGCCATTGTGACTGTTTGGGAAGTGAACCAACAAATGGAAGAGCTTTCTCTTTCTCTCTTTCTCCATGTAACTATGCATTTCAAATAAATAATAGATAAATAAATAAATCTTAAAATAAAAATTCTCAAAAATTATTTAGATGATAACATTGTGGGAAATGCCATTGAAAATATTTTTAGTACTGTGTCCATATGCGTAATAAACTAGAGAAACTGGAATGTTAAGTACTGAATATGGGAGCTATATATACAGATACAGATGCCCAGTTGAACTTCTTGGGATGACACCATAATGCCTGAGAAGGAAAACACACAGAATGCAATTACTGGCAGATGAGATACTGCAGTAAAGAGTAACGAATTTAAAGGCACAGCCAGGGCTGGTGCTGTGGTGCAGCGGGTCAACACCCTGGCTTGAAGCGCCAGCATCCCATATGGGTGCCGATTCGAGACCCGGCTGCTCCACTTCTGATCCAGCTCCCTGCTATGGTCTGGGAAAGCAGTAGAAGATGGCCCAAGTCCTGCACCTGCTTGGGAGAAAGAAGCTCCTGGCTCCTGGCTTCAGATCAGCGCCAACTGGGAAGTGAACCAGCGAATGGAAGACCTTTCTCTCCCTCTCTCTCTCTCTCTCTCTCTCTCTCTTCTTGCCTCTTCTCTCTGTGTGTAACTCTGACTTTCAAATAAATAAATAAATCTTTAAAATAAATAAAGTCACAGCCATAGAAATTATACCGAATGAATCAGAAAAAGACACTTGACAAAGCATCAGTTAGCTGTGCGACAAATCCAAGATCCATGTGTATTGTGGCGGCATCACAGGAAACGAGAGGGAAGGGCAGGAAAATTTTTGAAGAAATAATGGCTGAAAAATTCCAAATCTGATTATTGTAAATTTAATTTGTAATTTAATTTTATTAAACTTTATTGTATGATTAGTGATTTATTCATTATTTTTTGTAAATTTATTGATTTATTTATAGTGATTTATTTATTGATTTTTATTGTAAATTTAATTTACAATTAATTTTTTTTTAATTTTTTTCTCTCTTTTTTTTTTTTACAGGCAGAGTAGACAGTGAGAGAGAGAGAGAGACAGAGAGAAAGGTCTTCCTTCCGTTGGGTCACCCTCCAATGGCCGCTACGGCCAGCGCACCGCGCTGATCCAAAGCCAGGAGCCAGTTGCTTCTCCTGTTCTCCCGTGCGGGTGCAGGGCCTAAGCACTTGGGCCACTCTCCACTGCATTCCCGGGCCACGGCAGAGAGCTGGCCTGGAAGAGGGGCAACCGGGACAGAATCTGGCACCCCGACCAGGAATAGAACCCAGTGTGCCAGCGCTGCAGGCGGAAGATTAGCCTATTGAGCCGCGGTGCCGGCCTACAATTAAATTTTAATTGTAAATTCAGAGACCAGAGAATTTTAATGAAATGCAAGAAGCAGCATGAAAACAAAACAAAAGGAAAGGCATATAATATATAATCACATGGCTTACAATCAGTGATAAAGATAAAACATTTTAAAAGCAGAGATTAAAGGCACATCATATACAAATTAATATAAGAACAGATAGAGGAACTGGCATTGTGGCATAGCCAGTAAAGCTGCTCTCTGCAGCCTCAGTATCTCATATGGGCGCTGGTTCGAGTCCCAGCTGCTCCGCTTCTGATCCAGTGGCCTGCTAAAGTACTTGGGAAAGTAACTCCAGATGGTCCAAGTGCTTGGACCCCTGCACCCGTGTGGGAGACCCAGAAGTTGTTCCTGGCTCCTGGTTTCAGATTGGCCTAGCTCTAGCCATTGTATCCATTTGGAGAGTGAGCCAGTGGATGGAAGATCTCTTTTTATTTTTATTTTGTAAAAAGGATTTATTTATTTATTTGAAAGGCAGAGTTACAGAGAGGCAGAGGGGGTGAGAGAGAGAAAGTCTTCATCCGCTGGTTCACTCCCCAGATTGCTGCAGTGGCTGGAGCTGTGCTGATCTGAAGCCAGGAGCCAGAAGCTTCTTTCAGGTCTCCCATGTGGGTGCAGGGGCCCAAGGACTTGGCCATCTTCTACTGCTTTATCAGGCCATAGCAGAGAGCTGGATTGGAAGTGGAGCAGCCAGGACTAGAACCGGCACCCATATGGGATGCCAGCACTGCAACAGTGCAGGCCCTGAATACATCTTTTTAAAAAAGAAAAAAGAGGGGCCAGCACCGTGGCTCACTTGGTTAATCCTCCGCCCGCGGTGCTGGCATCCCGTATGGGCACCAGGTTCTAGTCCCAGTTGCTCCTCTTCCAGTCCCACTCTCTGCTGTGGCCCAGGAGGCAGTGGAGGATGGCCCAAGTGCTTGGGCCCCTGCACCAGCTTGGGAGACTGGGAAGAAGCTCCTGGCTTCGGATCAGTGCAGCACACCGTCCATAGTGGCCATTTAGGGAGTGAACCAACAGAAGGAAGACTTTTCTCTCTGTCTCTCTCACTGTCCATAACTCTACCTGTCAAATAAATTAAAAAAAGAAGAAGAATCAAAGTCTTCATTGGCAGGCAGTCATAGGAAGGAAGGAAGGAAGAAAAAAGAGGGGTCAGCACTGTGGCGCAGCAGGTTAAAACCCTGGCCTGAAGTGCCGGCATTCCATATGGACGCCGGTTTGAGTCCCGGCTGCTCCACTTCCAATCCAGCTCTCTGCTATGGCCTGATAAAGCAGTAGAAGATGGCCCAAGTTCTTGGGCCCCTGCACTCATGTGGGAGGCCTGGAAGAAGCTCCTACCTCCTGGCTTCGGATCAGCACAGCTCTGGCTGTTGCGGCCTTCTGGGGAGTGGACCATTGGATGGAAGACCTCTCTCTCTGCCTCTCCTCTCTCTGTGTAACTCTGACTTTCAAATGAATAAATAAAAATCTTAAAAAAAAAAAAGAAAGAAAAAGGATGGCAGTAGAGGGGACCGTCATTATGATGTAGCAGGTAAGGCTGCTGTCAGTGATGCCTGCATCACATATGGGCACCGGTTTGAGTCCCAGTTGCTCCACTTCTGATCCAGCTCCCTGCTAATGCACCTAGAAAAAACAGTGGAAGGACTTGGGCCCCTGCCACCCATGAAAGAGACCCAGGTGAAGCTCCTAGCTCCAGGCTTTGGCCTGGCCCAGCCCTGGCTGTTGCATTCAGTAACTCTGACTTTCAAATAAACAAATAAATCTTAAAAAAAAAAAATGAATGGCAGTAGACTCTTTATCTGGAAATAAAATTCCTGTAGAACAATCTCTTTGTATTAGAAAAAGAATGAAAAACCTATTACCTTGAAATCTAAACTAAGCAAAAGTATCATTCAAAAACAGAAGTAAAATCAAGACCTTTTTAGATATATAAAAGCTGGAAGAAATTACCAGCAGATCTGTGCTTTAAAATCTGTTACAGGCAACAAATACTGGTGACGATGTAGGGAAAAAAGTCCCCTGTTGGTGGGAATGTAAACTGGTACAGGCCCTGTGGAAGACAGTATGGAGATACCTCGGAAATCTGAATACAGACCTACCACATGACCCAGCCATCCCACTCCTGGGAATTTACCCAGACCAAAAGAAATCAGCATGTGAAAGAGTTATCTGTACCCCCATGTTCACTGCAGCTCAATTTACAACAGCTAAGATATTGAGTCAACCCAGATGTCCGTCAACTGTTGACTGGATAGAGAAATTATTATGGTATATCTATCTCTCTCTCTCTCTATATATATATACACACACACTATGGAGTACTATTCAGCTTTAAAAAAAAATCCTGTCTTTTGCAACAAAATGGACGCAACTGGAAACCATTATACTTAGTGAAACAAGCTAGTCTAAAAAGACAGATATCATGTTTTCCCTGATCTAAGGTAACTAATAGAGTACCTGAAACGTAATGTATTGGAGTGAAATTGACATTGTGAGCTTCCATGACTGTTTACAGCTCTTGCCTCTTCCATTGAGGAACAGTGTTGTTTTTTTTTTCCTTTTCTTTTTTTCTTCATACTACTTGTTGAAATCTTTTACTTAGTGTAGGGCTAACTATATGATCAGAAAATAAACTCAATACAGAGCTGTGTAAAAATTAAGAGTGGGAATGTGGGAGGGAGGAGGAAGAAGGTTTGGAGTATGGGTGGGAGGGAGAGTAGAGGGAAGTTATCACTGTTTCTAAATCTGTATATATGAAATTTGCATAACTTAAATATAATTCTTAAAATAAGAAGAAAAAGAAGAAGAAAAATCTGTTACTGGAAGTCCCTGCCAAAGGGATATGATACCACAGAAGTCTGACCTATGCAAGGAAACAAGGGGTCCTAGACAGGGCAACTATGTGGATCAATATCCTTTTTTCTTATTGCTTAAATCTAATTTAAAAATTGGCTTAAAAAATATATATATATACACACACACACACACACACAATGTATTTAATATTATTTGCTTAAAATAGAAGAAAATTCTGGCATGTACTACACAACAGATGAACTTCATGGAAATCATGCTAAATGGAGTAAATCAGTCTTGAAAAGACAAATACATATGATTCCATTTCTAAAAAAAAGTTCCTAGAGGGGCCAGCGCTATGGTGTAGCCAGTAAAGCTGCTGGTGGTGATGCTGTTATCTCATATGGGTGCTGATTTGAACACCAGCTGCTCCAGTTCCAATCCAGCTCCCTGCTAATGCACCTGGGAGAGCAGTGGAGATGGCCAAGTGCTTGAACCCCTGCACCCATATGAGAAGCCCAGAAGAAGCTCCTGGCTCCTGGCTTCAGCCTAGACCAGCCTCAGCTACTGCAGCCATCGAGAGAGTGGACCAATGGATGGAAGATATCCCTCTTTGTGTGTACGTCTCTCTGTAACTCTGACTTTTTTTTTTTTTTTTGACAGGCAGAGTGGACAGAGAGAGAGAGACAGAGAGAAAGGTCTTCCTTTGCCGTTGGTTCACCCTCCAATGGCCGCCGCGGCCAGCGCACTGCGGCCGGCGCACCAGGCTGATCCGATGGCAGGAGCCAGGTGCTTCTCCTGGTCTCCCATGGGGTGCAGGGCCCAAGTACTTGGGCCATCCTCCACTGCACTCCCTGGCCACAGCAGAGAGCTGGCCTGGAAGAGGGGCAACCGGGACAGAATCCGGCGCCCTGACCGGGACTAGAACCCGGTGTGCTGGCGCCGCAAGGCGGAGGATTAGCCTAGTGAGCCGCGGCGCCGGCCTGTAACTCTGACTTTCAAAATAAACAAATCTTTTTATAAAAGAAGTTCCTAGAGACAGAAGGCAGAATGATGGTTGCCAGGAGCTGGGGGAGGAGGTGTGGGGAGTTAATGTTTAACAAGCACAGAGCTTCAGATTTGCAAGATGAGACTAGTTGTAATTCTGGCATCCCATATGGGCACAGGTTCGAGTCCCGGCTGCTCCACTTCCAATCCAGCTCTCTGCTATGGCCTGGGAAAGCAGTAGGAGATGGCCTAAGACCGTAGGCCCCTGCACCCACCTGGGAGACCTGGAGGAGGCTTCTGGCTCTTGGCTTTGGGTTGGCCCAGCTCCAGCCATTGTGGCCAATTGGGGAGTGAACCAATGGATGGAAGACCTTTCTCTCTGCCTCTGCCTCTCTCTAACTTTGCCTTTCAAAATAAACAAATAAATCTTTAAAAAATAAAAATAATAGCAGAATATGTGGGGTACAGAGCACAGAGGTGTGCCCAGGGAGGATGGGGGTGCCCTGCCATGAGGTCCTTATAGTCTGCACAAAGTGGCGCAATTTCACTGGCAAGCAGACAGAGGCAAGATAAAGATCTACTCTCTAAACCCTGAAAACACCTCTAAAATGACCTCACAAGAAGCTGCTCCTAATAAGCAAGGAACAGGATAAAACAGAAGTATTCACAGTGAGCTAGGGTGAACACATGTATGGAAGATTTTTCAAAGGACTCGCTTTAAATATGTGTGGCTGCGTCCATTATATCTCAAGAAAGTGTTTACAAATACATGCGGAATGAGCTGCCTGAACCTGTGCAAACAGTGGCAGTGTTCACAAGATCTTCTCACAAACGTTCTCCACTTTGCTGGGGGCACATAACAGCACTCCACTCCGTGTCCTCTTGCAGCTTAGCTGTGGCCGTGTAGCTTGCTTCGGTCTATGATACACAAACAGGAAATGATTCTGTGGATTCCACGTGAGATATTCTCTAGGTAACACCGAGATACGTGTCTTTTTCTTTTTCTTTGAAAGAGAGAGAAGGAGAAAGGGAGGGAGAGAGAGAGAGAGAGAGAATCATTCACCTTCTGATTCACTCCCCAAATGCCCACAACAGCAGGGGCTGAACCAGGCTGAAGCCAGGAAACCTGGATCCATGTGGGTCTCCCTTGTGGGTGGCGGGACCCAAGTACTGGAGCCTCACCTGCTGCCTTCTAAGGTATGTATGCATTAGCAGGAATTAACTGGAAGCAAAGTTCAGACTTGAACCCAAGCACACAGATATGCGATGCTGGTGTCCTAACCAGTCTTAGCCAGTGAACCAAATGTCCACCCCACATGGGGGATATGTTGAGATGAAATTTTGCCAACCCTGACTCTCTGAGGGCCCGTGATGAGCCACATCTCTCTGGCAGAGGGAGACTAAATGACCTCTCCACATATTTTTTTCCTCAAACTATATAGTCTTTCCCAAAGGCCAGTCTAACTCTGTTTTTCTTTTTCTTTTGACAGGCTGAGTGGACAGTGAGAGAGAGAGAGAGACAGAGAGAAAGGTCTTCCTTTTCCATTGGTTCACGCTCCAGTGGCCGCTGCGGCAGGCGCACCTCACTGATCTAAAGCTAGGAGCCAGGTGCTTCTCCTGGTCTCCCATGGGGGTGCAGGACCCAAGGACTTGGGCCATCCTCCACTGCCTTCCCGGGCCACAGCAGAGAGCTGGACTGGAAGAGGGGCAACCAGGACAGAATCCGGCACCCCGACCGGGACTAGAACCTGGGGTGCTGGCGCTGCAGGCGGAGGATTAGCCTATTGAGCTGCAGTGCCGGCCTCTAACTTTGTTTTTCACAAAACAGAAAACTGTTCACAGCTTTGAAATGGCAACATAATTTCTACTTCTACCAGTTGGTCCAGGTTTCATTAATAACAGTCTATTAACACTGCAGCCAGTGATGTCTTTCTTATCCATAGCAGTTTCTGGCAGAAGGACAATTTAGGTCTAAAGAAAATGTGTTTGTCAAATGACACTTTCTGGGAGCTACTTCCCTGGATCATAGTCCTCCCTCCTAAACCTTATTAATTGGAATCAATCTACTAAACTCCTCTTCAAACCTGAACTGAGGAAAGCCAAGCAAGAAAGCAACAAAGTATCCTACAGGCGTACAAGAAACATATACAAAGCAATTCCAGGAAAGTGTCACAGGCACAACCCTGCAGCCAGGGATTTCCCTATGACTTAGAGGCAAGAACATTTATTTGCCATAAAGGTCAGAGAAGACCGAAGAATGTGGTGCCAAACAGCCACTGGAGAAAAAAGTGTGTGATGCCAACTTTTGTGGTCGATGGAGCCAAACAGACTTGGCAGATTGGGGCAGGGTTTCTGTTTTGGCATTTTCCTCACAGTCCAGGCCACTCGGGAGCTTAACCATGGATTTTTCTAGTATTCTATGTATGCTGACCACCACACCACCTCAAGGCTTGGTTAGAAACAACTTCCAACCAAAATTCTCACTCCCATAAATGTTTACCTCTACATCTCCAACAGAAAGGGATTGTGGACTCAGTTTTGCTCCCTAAACCCAAATACCCAGTCTCCTATTCCTAGAAACACAAACACACAGCCAGTCTTCCTAGTGGCTAAGATGCCCAGGACCTCTATCTGTTATATATTAATGTTAGCTGTCATAAAGCACACCGGACACCGGAGTAAGGGAAAGGGTTTATTGGGGAACACCCTACAGACCGGAGTGAAGGGGCGGCGAAGGAGAAAGAGAGAAAGAGAATATAAGAGAGAAACAGAGAGGAGAGGAGCTAGCAAGGAGAGAAGATAGAGCAGAGAAGAGGAGAGCAGAGCCAAGAGAGAAGAGCCAAGAGACCAGAGGAGGAGGCTAGAGAGGAACCGAGAGAGAAGAGCCAAGAGAGCACGTGTTCAGGAACAGGCCCTTTTAAAACTTTGCCTGAGGGCGGGCAGGGAAGCAGGAGCAGCGAATCCCATTAGGATGGGGGTGGAGCCTGGCTCAGGTAGCTGGGCCATATGGCCACCTGGCTAAAACTGTGCCAGTTTCCTAACACCACTGGTCTCCATGGAAATTTAGCAGGTGCAAACACAAACCACAGTTTTCATGCTTTCAGAGGCCATGGCTGTAAGTGTGATCTAGAGGAAATCAGGGCATTTTTTTCAAGAAAAATGAAAACCAAATTCTTCATCATCCCTTCCCTCTCTTTTAGCCCAGCTTAAGTTTACCTTTGCATTACTTCTTTGTTTTTTACTGTTCCTGCACATATTTGAAGATTTCGTCCAGCCATGATTTATTCTGGAGTAATGTGTAACTTTTAAGAACCTTTTTATTGTTAATGGCTGTTCACTTCTCCCAAACATTTCCTTATTCAGTACTGAGTTAAAGTGGCACTTTATTTCACCTTAAGTTTTCAGTTTTCTTTTTGTTTGTCTCATTGCAGTCTGCTTCGTGCATCAGTACTCCTCTAACTTCATCAATAAAATTTACTGTGTACGTGAATCTAATCTCATTTGTACCTCTTTTGTATCTGCTAATCTGCCAGGTCATTTTCAGGTGGCACAGGATAACTGTATCAGAAGCTGGTGGAGCCTTCACACTGGCTGAAACTATTTCAAGTCTTCTGTCTCCTTTAACCTTTACAAAACCTCCTTTGGGAAGAAGCTTATTTATTTATTGCATTGTACACAGAAAACTTGGGGATCAAGTATTAGAAATTGATAATTGAAATCAGAAATGCGCAGCTAGCAAGAGGCAGAGGGCCTCAGACTTAGCCCTTCCTGTTCCACACCCAGCATAACTTCAAGAACACACTCAGACCCAAGCAGGTAACCATAGGCCATGTTATGTGATCATCAGGAAATCTGAATAGTTAAATCTTATTTGATTTAAAACATTAAAAAACACAAATGTAACTTTTCAGCTTAATATTTTACAATAAAATATGAAACTCTCTTTACCACAACTAAACAAACCCACTACCCTGACCCTGGCCTTCTAAATGTTCATTAAAATACTTTCAGTTCTTTACTAATTAGGATTTTACAATAAAGAGTACTACACAGATTCACTGAGGCCCTTCTCCAAGAAACCAAAAGTCCTTCAGAAACACTACCTTGGAACACAATATTTTTTACACTTTTCTAAATTATTTCATTGTTTTACAGAGGAATGTTTAAAGTATTTTTAAAATCACTTCTCTATTTAAATTAATGAGAGCTCTCAATAACAACTACATAAAACTGGATATCGCTCAAAGTTTTTTCAAAGAAAACTCTAATATGATTTTGGAAGCTATTTTCCAATAGCAATCTACTACTGTGTCCATAATGTAAAAGTTCACATTTTAAAAGGGCAGACATTCCAAAGAAATATTCTTAGAGTTATAAAGAGTTCTTTCTTTTAAGAGGCAAAGATTCTCATTTTTTATTAGTCTGCATATCAAGTAAATGAGTTATAATAATATAGGATTCTTGAGATTATAAAAATTGGTAAAATTATACTTAACTAGAAAAATGCCTATCAGTACTTTCAAAGTATTTCACAAATAATCAGATATATTAGATAAATCTTTGTGAATTGAATTAAATTTGGTAACCAGCTGAGGGCTGGGACAAGATAATTTATTCTCAGAAACTGAACGGTGCAAGGCACAGAATTTATTAAGAATGAATACTCTTCTGGGCACTACAAAATATTAGAAAAGGGCATATTTTAATCTTCAATGTTAGGTGGTAAGGACTGTCTTTAATTTACTACTTTTACTTATACGTTCAAAATTTGACTCTGGCATCTTACCTGCAAAATTCTTTATTGGTATATTTAGTTAATTCTTTCCAAACATTAATTTAAAAACAAAACAAAAAGAGTAGAAAGTTGTTCTGATTTCCATCTGGAAAGGCATCAGAAAACAGCCCAAGGATTTATGGCTCTGCCAAAAATATGGGAGACCCAGATGGAGTTCCAGGCTGCCGCCTTCATTGTGGCCTTTTAGGGAGTGAACCAGGGGATGGAAGATCTTTCTCTCTCCCTCTAACTCTGCCTTTCAAACAAACAAATGATTCTCACAATAAATAAGAGAACAAAAAAAAAAAAAAGGAAAAACAAAGAACATACTAAAAAGGAGAAGGCCAAAACCAATTACGTTTGTTGTCTTAAATGAACACAAAGTGACTAAACTCAACAATTAAAAAAAATAAAGAATAACTCAGATTGAGAAGCATGGGCAAAGACAAATACAATCCAAATGAAGCAGGGATTAAGACTGGATTGGGGGGCCGGCACCCTGGCTCACTTGGTTAATCCTCCACATATGGTGCCAGCATCCCATATGGGCGCCAGGTTCTAGTCCTGGTTGCTCCTCTTCCAGTCCAGCTCTCTGCTGTGGCTCAGGAGGGCAGTGGAGGATGGCCCAGATTCTTGGGCCCCTGCACCCACATGGGAGACTGGGAGGAAGCACCTGGCTCCTGGCTTCAGATTGGCATAGCTCTAGCCGTAGTGGCCATTTGGGGGTTGAACCAACAGGTGGAAGACCTTTCTCTCTGTCTCTCTCACTGTGTAACTCTGTCAAATAAATTAAAACATAATAATAATAATAATAAAATAAATCAATATTTGCTAGGCAAATTTTTTTGTATTTAATTTAAAAACTATGTATCCTAAGACTTAAAGAAAAATATACCTTGACACCATTTAAGGTTACACTGATGAAGAAAGGAGAAAAAAGAATACTTTTCAACAATCTTTACTGTAAAATGAGAAGAGAAATTCAGTCATGGTAACCTCTGTCCTTTACTACAGTTTAAAATATGTGCACATGTATACACACAGCCAAATGGAAACCTGCACCATTACTGGAGAAGTTCATCCTCTTAGTCCCGCAGTAGCAGATGGTTACACCCTAACATTAGCACTCACACTGGAAGATTCTGATGGCTTCTTAGGGAACTTCCCTAAATCTTCTAAGAAAGATGTCACAGATTAGAAAGACACAATAGTATGAAGAAGTGAAATAAT